TTTCATGCAGGATCAATCTCTATCAAGTCAACCTCCTTATTTATATCATAATTTTATGACATACATCAAGCCCAACAAGAGGAAGAAGAAAAGTTTTGTAATGAAAGAAATTAGGCCGACTTTACACTAAGTTATTTCTCAATCTAATAAATTAATTTTTCTTTTACAAATAAGATGACCAAATCGAAGTGTTGAATTTTGGAAAAAAATGTGTCACGAAAACCACTGGGTACTAAAAGAAAGAGTGTCGCCAATTGGCAGAAGTTAGTTGAAATTATCTCCAAGTTAAATAGCACACTCCATTTGAGAGACGATGTATTGAAGGTCAATCACACTCTTACCCCCAAGGTCTGTGAGAATATTTTTTGAGTAATATTATGCTTACTCATGATCTTACTAACTATTTTACTATCCTTTGTAAATATACCGCATAGTACGGATACCATACGCATAGTACGAGTACTATATATAATTTTAACAAAGATAGTAAAGCGGTTAGTAAACTTCGTGAGTAAGCATAACATTATTGATATCTTTTATCTAATACTTGCCGGACAAAAGAAATACATCCAATTTTTATCACAATTACCATTTTACCCTCAATTTTCTTTCATGTGCAATTGAATAACTCATATTTCTTATTAGGGAAGGGTAGTGCTATGGGTACTAACGGATTTTACTAATTCGTGTACTAACTAAAGCATAGTACGGGTACCATACGCATAGTACGGGTACTATGTGTGATTTTAACAAAGGTTAGTAAAATCTATTAGTACGCAAAGTATTATTCATTGAACCATACTATACTTACTCACCATCTTACTAACCATCTTACTATCCTTTGTAAATATAACGTATAGTACTGGTACTATATGCATAGTACGGGTACCATGTAAAATTTTAACAAAGGTTGTATGGCAGTTAGTACAAGTGGTGAGTAAGCATAGTGTTTTTCTTATTCATTAGGAAATGTTCTCTATACCTCATGAGGGATAACATAATCCAATAAACCTCCTCTTGTTTTGGAAATGGCTCTTGACCCCTTATTATATATAATTTTTTGTTAAATTTAACCGAAAATGGGTATAAGAGTAAATGTAACTTAAAATATCAACATAAACAATTAAACATTTCCTTAAAGAAATGATAAAAAAAACAAAAAAAAAAAAAAAGAAACTCCACTGCAACCCATTATATACCTAATCTCAAGACATCTCTACTGCCTCAATTGACAATTGAGCACACTCACCTCCAACCAATCATCACCGTGATCGTAAGGTGAGGTTCGAATCAAAAGGAAAGTGTTCTAAGCCCCACTATTTGAGGTGGGTAAGTAATAAAAATCCAACAATATTTTAACAGTAAGCCGAAATGTTTGATCAAGGTGAGTGGTTCTTTTTATTTTTATTTTAAATTTGGGATATTAATTATAAAAAATAAAAAACTTATTTATTCAATTAGGACATACAAGGATTTTCTGGTAACTTTGTTTAAAAATAAATAAATAATAAGTGCAAAAAGGGTAATCACTTCTTTGGTGTGGATTAGGACTAAGGAGTCAAAAATCAATAACTTTGACAAGCGACTGAGACTAAAGAGCCAATTTTAGAACAAGAAGTGATTTATGGAATTAGAGTATAACTCAAGGGGTTTAGAAATTTTCTCTTATTATTAAACAAAATTTAGGAAATAAAAAAAAGTAATAAATAATATCAAAACTAAATTTCAATATCTCTTTGCTTAGTTGGCAGTGTGAAAAAAACTACTTCAATATAATATTCAATTCTTCTTCCCAAATAGCATTAATCTCTACAGCAAACCACCTTAAAACCTCCTCAATCTCCCAATTTCTTCTTCAGGTTGATTCTACTCAAGAGTCAAGACTTGATCTCTTTCTCTTAATTTCCTCTTTAAGCATTATTAGTTTTCACTTTGTTTATTCTTAATTATATAGTTTGTCAAAGTTGAGAGATCTCAAATGTCTTAAGGAAAATAAACTTCTCAGGCTGAGAACGGCTGAAATGGGAGTTGAAAAATGAAATTTAATATTACCAACCATCTAACGTTTAATGATATTTCAGTTATAGAAACCATTAAAGATATTTGAATCTTCAATAAACATTTACACATTAGCTTATATAAAACTATTATATTTATATAGGTTGATAGAAAACAAAGAAGACTAGACTATTAAATAAATATTTACATCTTCAGATTCACATTCACCACATGAATAAATACGTCATTCTTCATGCATTCATTTGAACATAGGAAAATTTGCAAAAAAATCACGATAAAACCACCTAATTCCTAAGGAGGTTTGGTCACTCAAAAAAGCAAAAGGTTTGGGAGGGATCAAAGAAATACAATAAGAACAACTTTAAATTTTTGGAGAATGAGAAAATAACATGACCTAGCTGGACCGGAAAACACAAGTAACCCGCATATGACAGCAAGACCAAGAAATATCATACACGGAAAAACATGTATCATAACATATCATAACACAAAATCTGATTGCTCTTTGATGACCATAGGCCGCTTCCTACCAAAAAGTTTCTACACCCATTCTATACATCATTCACACATAAAGCAAACAAAAATAAAAAATTCTTCTTGCAAGTCGGTTTTTAATGAATGCCTTAGTATTACTACCCTCGCACAGAAACAAGAATAACACTAGAAAGTACTATGGCGATTACTTTTGGTTGAAAGAAGCCGGAACATTTATTGATACAGCTTGCCTCAAATATAACTCCTGAGTAAGCCAGAATGGTAGCTCCAACTTGGCTCCTTCTTCAACCCAAGAATAACCACCAAAAACAGAATATATTATAATACAATCATTGAATATCAATTTTCACTAGACTGCAGTTAACTTACACAGTCTTTTTCAGCACTGCGATCAACTTTTACTCCACTACATTATTTATGGAAGACAACAGGAACGAGCTGAAAGCGAGCAAAGGGAAAAAAAATCATTATTTCATATTATATTAAGCAATTTGAAAGTTGAATTAAAGACAACTGAGGGTATGAAGGCCAAGATAATAATCTCTTCGTCTACAAGAATATCATCAAATGTCATAATAATTTGCATTTCTCGAAGCCCCATCATTCATTTTTTTTTGTTCAGTTTCTCTTGATTTTTCCTTCACAATTTATTAGATATTTAACAGCTGGGGAAAAAAACATAAAAAACTAATTACAAGAAATTGTGAATATAAATGAATTTCAGCATAGAGAATGCAAGGGATCTAAACCATACATGTATTTCCATCAAAATAAACGAATCAGATTTCACAATTGCAAGAATATAAACACATTGAGTGAAACATCCAACCCAAGAATTAAGCTCTAAGCGAGAATTAGATCCAATTCCAACCTGGAACTCACTATTCCTCAGCAACAACAAGAAATGTAAACTAAAATAAATTCTAAAAGATCTGAAACCCTAGAGTGAGCAACATTTATAGCTAGAACAGATAGATAGATATGGAAAATGAAATTCAGAAAAATAAAAATTTGACGACGAACTGAGAATATGAATCAACGATATAGAAAATGAAATTACCTCAAATGTTCTCACAATCACAGAGCTTGCTTGTGTTTGTTTGGCTCTCAAGTGAACGGGGAGGGATAATATCAGCTAAAATAGGAGGGAAACATAAAAATGTAAAAATTAGAGACTTATTTATTATGCGGTGTGGTGTACCATAAGTTCTGGTGTTACAAAATTTAATAGAATTTTTTTTGTCGTAAGTACAAAAAATTTAAAGTTAGGGGTTTTTGTATAAATAAAAAAGAACAAGGGGTTTAACAAAATTACAACAGACAACATATATACTAATAGTAATAATACTAATACTCCAGTAAAAATAATTTTCTATTAGTTTATAGGCCGAACGACTTGCACCCACCCAAAATTTTCTGTAAAGACAACGTGGTACTCAAAAGGTTTGAAAATGACAATTACCTACTTTCTGTTAGGTTCTCTTAGTGAAATCCGTTAGAGGAAGGATAAAATAGTAAATTTTCATTTAGCCGAAAAATCTTTTGATTTAAAATTCTTGTATCTATTTTTAATATGAATTTTTATTATTCTATTTTTATGATTAATTTTAATTAAAATTACACAATAACTCTAACAGCAAACATATCCGCCTTTGCCACACCTCTTCTCCTTCTGTGTTTTTTTCTTAGTCACCTTTCTTCTTTCTTCTCTTCTCTGTTTTGTCTTCATTTCTAATTTGAAAATCAAAATCAAAATAAACAACAAATCTTGTTCTACGCAATCAAGAAGTCAAGCTAAGAGAAAGAAAAAAGGCGGAGAAAGGATGAGATGAGAAGAGATGAGAGAAAAAAAAGAAAGGGAAAAGGCGGAGAAGAGAGGAGATGTAAAGAGAGATGAGGAAAAAAAAAAAGAGATAAAATTTAGGGATTTTATAAAATAGGAAAAGTCAAAATTACCCTTTAAGTATGAAAGAATATCAATAATACCATGTCATCTAACAGATTTCACTGACATAACCTTACGTAAAGTGGGTAATTGTCGTTTCCAAACATTTTGGATACCAGATTATCATTACGGCAAACCTTGGGTGGGTGCAAGTCGTTCAGCCTTAGTTTATATGATGATTTTAATTTTATAGCCCTACGATAAATGAAAGGAATAGGCTAAAAGTAATCAAAAGAAAAGAGATCAAGAACTGTATTACACATTTTACCTCAAACATTCAAACTCAATAAAAGTATCCAGCAAACTTCCATTAAAAGGATTTAACTTTAAAATGAAAATAAAATACAAATAGGTTGATAAAATGCCGGTGGCCTAGCGTATCATCCTAGAAACTCTGTTCTCTTTTCACCTTGCTCAAATTGCTTGATCAAGATATTAACTTCTTAGCCCTGCGATTAAAAACGGCAACGGCATAGACAAAAAATTAGAAGAATAGTTCAAAAATTACAAAGAAGTTTATCTCCTAAACAAAAGAAAGAGTTTAAATCTTACCTCCTTGCCTGATGAGAACAGTTCTAGGCTGGAGAAGGATGTTCTTAACCTTTTGTAATTCATGAACAACATTGGTTATGTTCATTCGCTCTAGTGGTATATCCATTGAACATGCCACTCCGGCGCTTACCATTGAAATGAGGCATTCCTTTCTTTTGATGTTTCTTTCTTGTGCCAGTATACGATTAGGTGTAGCAACCTCTTCAACCTCATTTAGAAGTACTAGATCGACAATGTCCATCACCCGTTCAGGCAAGGTCATTCTTGCAAAATTGTGAAGATTGAGGCCTCCCTCAAACATAAGGTCTATGGGTCTTTTCCTTGTTATCATCTCCAACAGTAGGATCCCATAACTGTATAAATCCCCATTTGTCGACACTTCACCTCTAAGACCATATTCTACAATTCAAAAGAATTACATTAGAAAGTATAACGATCTTTGACAAGTAATTGACTGTTCACATAAAAAAAAAAAATTATGGTTACCTAGGGCTGCATAGACTATTGTTCCTCTTATGCCAACAGAGCTGCTTTGATCTGAATTAGAGACTTCTGGGAGAAACCTTGCTAGACCGAAATCTCCAAAGTGAGCTATCATGTCATCATCTAGAAGAACATTGCTAGGCTTTAAATCGCAACAGAGGATTGGCTCATGGCAACGATAATGGAGATAATCTACTGTAGATGCTACATCAATTGCAATGTTTATTCGATGAAAAAGGGTAAGATTCTGAATTTCAGGTTGCTCTTCTTCTACTTCCGGAGCTGGGTGCAACCTTCTCAAGACTCCCATGTGGCATGTACTTGTAAACAATAGCTTCAAAGTCATTGCCCTGAAAATCAATACTTGAGCAAGAAGTTATGACTTTTACAAGATTCTTGTGACGGTTATATCTCAGCACTTTACACTCTGCCATGAAACTTTTGGAAGCTCCTCGACGTTGAAGATTCAGTACTTTGATTGCAACAATAGTTTCATCTTCGTCAAGGATACCCTTAAACACAGAGCCGAAACTTCGTGCAACAATCAAGTTTGTTGAAGAAAACCCATCAGTCGCTTTGAGTAGCCTTTCATATGATACATTCACAAGTGCTTTTATCAACCTGGATCCAGAATCAGAAGGTTGTTTCCCTCTTCTCTTTCTCAGCCAACAAAAAATGAATAATGACAACATGGTTAGTCTTGAAAGGATACTTGCAATTGATACCAATATTTTGGTTCGCGGAGAGATCCTCTCTTTCTTTGCATTCTTGCTAGTGCATTTGAGCAAATGTAGTTCAGCTATTCCCCTACAAAGTCTACCGTTATTTCCGACAAGTGATATTGCACTTGCATTTGCAAAAACACCTTTCGATGGCACTTCACCCTCAAAATTATTGAAGGATAGGTTTAGATTCTCCAAAGCGAGAGTCTCTAAGAATTTTGGAATTTGGCCAGACAAATTGTTGTGAGAAAGATCAACGATTCGAATACCTCTCAGAGAACTCAATGATGCAAGTATAAATCCTTGGAAAGCATTGCCATCCATTAAAAGATATTCTAGACTAGAACAAAGACTAAGTTGACTCGGAATTTCACCTGACAAATTATTATCAGACACATCAAATTTGGATAGAAGTTTCAGGTTACCTATGTTTGGAGGTATGGATCCAGTCAATTGGTTTTTGGATAGATCTAGTAAAATTGACAGATATGTTATTTCAAAAACTTGTTTGGGTATGGTTCCACTAAGGTCATTTCGGGAAAGATCCAAAATTTCCAATTGTTTCAAATTTCCTAGACTAATAGGTATGACTCCTGATAATATGTTATCCAACAATCCTAACCTAGTGATTTTCGACAGGTTCCCCAAAGAAGAAGGAATTTCATTGGAGAGTTTGTTGCTAGACAAGTCTAAAATTTCAAGGTTCTGGAGCTTACCTAATTCTTCGGGAATTGTGCCTGAAAATTTGTTAAAAGGCATACTCAACCAAGTCAAGTTAAGGAGGCCGCCCATCCCTGACGAGATTGTTCCATACAAATTATTCCCACCAATAAGTAAATATTGCAGTTTAGTACTAGAAAGGTTAGCTATTGAATGGGGCAAGGGTCCTCTGAATTGGTTTCTTCTTATGAAGAGCACCCCCAAATTGCTGCAGTTGGCCAAAGAATCGATAAAACTCATCTCACCTTCCCCACTTCCTAAATTATTGCCGTTCAAATTTAGGTGTTGAAGGTGTTGCATGTCTCCAAAATCAACGGAAAATTTTCCTGAAAATTCATTATCTTCCATCTGAATATTTTGGAGTTTTGAAGCATTGGATAAAGATACTAGAATAGATCCACCAAGAAAGCTATATGAGATTTGAAAAAATTGGAGACGAGGAAGAGCAAGGCCTAAATTTGGTGGAAGACGTCCCTCAAGTTGATTGTCAAACAAAGAAAAATTAACAAGGAATGAGAGATTGTATATAGAAGTAGGGACCACACCAGATAGGATGTTTCTACCAAGTCCAAGAGATGTTAAGTTTTTAAGTTGACCCAATGAATCTGGAATATTTCCTCCAAAAGGATTTGAAGCAATAGATATCACTTCCAGGGAGGTAACATTCCCAAGAAATGGTGGGATGCCTCCTGTCAAACTGTTATAGTGCAGATGTATGAATTTGAGGTTGAACAAGGAGACAAACTTCGGTGGAATTTTCCCAACTAGCTTGTTATATCCTAAAAATAAGAATTTGAGCCTAGAACAATGGGACAAGTTGGCTGGAATTTCTCCCACCAAGGAGTTATTTTGAACAAACGGCCAACTTCAGGAGGGAATTCACCTTGGATACTATTGTTTGCGAGTTCGAATTTTCGTAGGAAGCTGAGGTTGCCAATCTATGGTGACAAGGAGCCGAAGAAACCTCTAGAACGTAGACTTAGGACGGTGACTCTTTTTTGCTTGCGACCACACGTAATCCCCGACCACTCGCAGAAGTGGCGAGAATCATTCCATGAGTTTAGAGCCCCTTGAGGATCATGAATAATCTTTGACTTAAAGGCCTGCAAAGAAACACGATCTATCTCCTGTTGAGCCCATTTGGAACTGACAAAAGTGGTAACTTGCATAAGCGTGATGCAAAAAAGTAAAACAAAGAGACAGCAAAGTGAGTGACTTATCATTGTGTTCATTTCTAAGAGTGAGATATGAGCTTCCTACACCTAGCCTTGTCACTTTATATACGATGAGCCTGTGAAACTCTAACGCCTATTCAGTGGCATAAATTATAGCAAATTTGGACTTTAAACTGGGAATTGACTGGTTGAGGTAAAAAAAGGTTTATTCTCTTCTTCATTTAGATTCATGCGGTGTAAATTATCTTCCACCATGAACCAAAGAAAGTTGCAACAACTTTTTCCAAGAAATTTCCTATGAACATGAATTAAAAATTAATAACACATGGGATGCACAGCGATAGTGAAGAATAACCTTTCAAGTGGAAATATAGGGTCCTCATCTTATATGGCTGCATGACTCGTGTTTAGTAATTTAGAGTGTGGACAAATCGGCAATTATTAAAATCATCAAATTTTAAACAATCGTTCCATGTTTTGTTAAAATCATCAAAACTATCCTCCCAAGAGTATCTGTGTTCTATATGGCAATTCAATAATATACGGTATCAGGTGCGTGAATTGGCAGAAAAAGAGCCAGATAACGGGCTCTGCACTGATGTTACTCAGTCTTTAACAACTATTCTCATAGGCACAAGATAACTACAATGTTTTGTGGTGTAAGAAGAAATTAGTTCATGGCAAGTAACCTTTATGCATTCTAGAAAGTAAAATTAGTATTCATTCATTTAGTTAGTGAAATTTGGTCTAGCCAGTTAAATGGGCAAACTAGAATGCACAGTGTTATGCCTAAAAAGTTAGGGCAGACGTGGACTCTTATCAGCAAGAGCCAATCATGATTCAGGAAGGTTTTTGTACTGTACGTCTAGGCCCTGCCATGTCATGTAGTGACGAGAGAGGTACAGTTCTTGTTAGCATAGCAAATGAATGTCAGGCTTGCGAGTGGCCAGAGGTTATTCACCTGCCAAAGCCCTACGCAATTTGAGGATATTTCTCGTGCAGATAACCAATGAGATGCAAGGAAGGACTTGCACGACACCTACCCACTTGCAGACTCGTAATCATTACCTTGAACTCTCCCACTATAAATAGAGGACACCCCTCTCATTTACAGGATTGGCTGATCTTAGTTTAAAATAGCTTACAAACATTTTCTCTAGATTGTAACTCAGTCCGCTACTCGTGATCTGACTGTACCCAACTATTAATACAATAATAGTGGACGTAGGATTCGCTTTTGAGCATTCGAACCACTTTCAAAATCGCTTCCCATGCATTCTCTCGTTCCATATTTTCCTATCACGTGTAACTTCTAAGTCTGCTTAGCATTTTGCACGTGTGAGTCGTTGGTGTCAAAATTGAGCATCAACAGTTTGGCGCTAGAAGGAGAGTCTGATTTAGTATCTGCTCTTCATCAGAAACCTCTGAATCATCGGTCCTAACAATCAACAAATGGCTCGCATTTCGAACCTGAGCGAACCGACCTTGACAATGAGGAAATCCCCCAGGTACAGGATGACATTTCTCCCGAAGCACTGCTAGCCCAACATAGTATCATGGCGGATATTCCTTCAAGCTCATGACTTGACCCAGCCGTAATGATTTACCTGGAGAGGTTCAATAATACTCTCCAAACGGTTAGCCAAAGGCTAGACCATTTGGATCGGGTCATGCCACTAGAATCCAATGAATCGGTGCTATTACAAAAAATGTCTGCAGGTCACGCGAAAGTGTGAAAAAGGGCAAAAGCCCATACCATGCGCACTGTAGTGCACCAAAGAAGGGGAAAGCAAGTGGCGAATAGCGGACCAAAGGCCTCCGAGGGACCAACAAACACCGGTGGCACAACAGGTAGAATACCTGTGGCACTGCGACTCGGAGACATATCACAGCATGAGCCGTCCCACACCACATCGCATGGGCACTCCCACAAAAGTGCAAGGTGGGGGGATTCCCAATATCGCCGAAATGACGACCTCGACCATTGTCATGCGGGAAATCCCTGTCATCTGCAGGTCAGTTAGGACCACCATGGAGATCGGGAAAATTCTCTGAATCACTTAATGCCTTCACACGGCTCCAGCCAGCATGTGTCAAGGTTTACTGGAGCTTTCGACCAAGTTGAGGAAGAGCCCGATTTGCGGTCTTTCCTCAACTGCAACCGTTAGGGTCAAAGCCACGTTGCGGAAAGTAATCCCCAAGCAGCTATATTGCCTCAGATTGAGGAACTACAGCGAGCGTTGGATCAGCTTAAGGCTCAGTAGAATGAGCGTGGGAAGGTTATAGAGGTGTCTCCCTTTTCTCTAGCAGTTCTAGTTGCTCCTCTCCCATCGAGATTCAGAATGCCCTAAATGCGGGCATTCGATGAGAATTCAAACCCACAGGATCACCTGTACGAGTTCAACGACCTCATGGAACTCAACTAAGTCTTCGACTTAGCCAAATGTCATTGCTTTGCAGTAATCCTGACTACCCATGCCAAGCGCTGGTTCAAGTCGCTTCCCGCGAGATCAGTCAACTCATGGCCTTAAATGAACTCATCGTTCTTGAGACACTTCCAGGCGAACAGGAAATTCTTAATGTCGTTGAGCTACCTAAGTAACATACGACAACAGAGAGATGAATCTCTCCAATCTTACATAGACAGATTCCATAGGGAACTCTACAAAGTGGCTCATACTTCTAAAGAGTCTATTCGGACTCTCATTATCGCGAAAGTTCGCTCGCAGACAGATTTGTGGAAGGAACTGTAATCCAAGGACGATGTTTCCCTTACTTGCTTTTATAACCTCACCAAGAAATAGCTCCGAATTGAAAATTATGTGGCCGTTCTCAATTGCCATGACCCCGGTCCCTCGAGCAGTGTTCTCAACCGGGGGGAGAGTAGTAGGAGGATTGATCACAGATGGGCTAATAACGATCAGCGAAAAGGAAAGAAGTAGCAGTTTGAGCCCAAGAAATCTTATACCCCAGTTCCTTGTTGCGATCGCGACAAGAATCAATACACTCCTCTGAATGCCTCAGTATCTGTCATCCTGAATAAGTCAGAGGAGGCCAGCCTGCTCGGAGAGCCAAAGCCCATGAAGAATCTCTCCTTAGCCAGAAACAATGGAAAGTATTGTCTCTATCATAGGGATAATAGACATCACACCGATGAGTGTCGGGATCTTAAATAGGCAATCGAAGACCTCATCAAGCAAGAGAATATTTGAATAATACTATTCTTTTCTGAGTCTCCAATTCAAGAAATTTCATAGAATGGTGATCATAATTGCACATAGTAATTCTTTTTTTGAATTGAAGTCCACTAGGAATGAGAAAAATCAAGATGAGAGTGAATGGAGCTTTTATACTGTTGAGTTTGTTCAGAAGCAAGTTGACAGAGGAGAAGCTCAGATGTGAAAGTTCGTTATGTTGAGTGCTGAGCTGGAAGTTATAGTTAGAGTTTGTTAGCTTTTAGTTAGAGTTATTTAAACGGTTGTTTTACAAGTTGTATATATATGTATATTGATGTAAACGTTGTTATTAATGAGAATAGATTAATTCCTTTCTTTTCATTGTTTTCAGTTCTTCTAAATACATTTTCTTAACATGGTATCAGAGCCTTGATCTAAGGCTTGAAATTCTTGTTCAATCATCAAATTCTTTTTCACCTGATTTGGTACTGCTTTGCTATTCAATTTCAGCTCTGTTTTGTCAAATCTTTTAATACTTTTTGTTTGCTTTTCCTCACTCAAACTCTTGAGCAAGCTCGGTTTTATAAAAACATCAATGGCAACTGAAGGAAATGACAACATCTCGACTGGAATTGGATCTCAGAATAATCAAAGTTCATTAGTAGTGGACTTCAATCATCCCTTGTACTTGCATCCCTCGGACACTTCAGGTTCTATCTTAGTTTCTTTTCAACTCATTGGAATAGAAAATTACTCACTATGGAGTCGATCAATGAAAATTGCATTGCTTGCTAAGAACAAAATAGGTTTTATTGATGGAACTTGTAAAAGAGACACAAATTCACTTAACTTGCAACAGTAGTGGGACAGATGCAATGCCATTGTACTCTCTTGGATTATGAACTCTATAAGTAAAGAATTGCTGAGTGATATAATGTATGCTTCTAATTCACATCTGGTATGGCAAGATTTAAAGGAGAGATTTGACAAAATCAATGGTTCAAGAATCTTTCAGTTGCATCGAGTATTGTTACTTTAACACAAGGAACCTCAACTATATCCACTTATTATACTAAACTCAAACTTTTAGGGATGAATATGGATCTATCATACAACTACCTACGTGGGAATGTGAGATTTCAAAAACGTATGTAGAACATATGTAGAATAAAAAACTTCTGCAATTTCTCATGGGGCTGAATGAGACATATGTGCAAGCAAGAGGACAGATCTTGATGATGAATCCACTTCCTAATATCAACCAAGCCTATTCCATGCTTGTAACAGAAGAGAGTCAAAGGAGCATAACAGGATCTACCACATTAGAGTCTTCCCTGGAATCCACTGTCTTATACTCATCATCATCATCATAGCAACAGTCTAATGGAAAGAAAAACTGGAATATTACCTGTGAGCGCTGCAGTGTGAGAGGCCATAAGAAGGAAAATTGTTATAGGCTCATTAGCTATCCTCCTGATTTTAAGTTTACTAAAAAGAAATTTACAGGAACTCAATCTTCAGTCAACACTGTTTCAGCTCCATCTACTAATCATGCTGAGCCCAACAATTCAGGATCTGCTGCTCCAGTATTCTCTAAGGAACAATATGAAGAGATCCTCAAACTCTTGAACAAGGACTCAACTGCTCCTACAGCAGATGGAATGGTGAACATGATAGGTATAAAGTGTTTTTTATCCTCACTAGGCAAAAAACATCTTGAATTCTAGACACAGGGGCTAGTCATCATATGTCCCCTTGTATTGATCTATTATCAGATTTAGCATCATCACCTGTTTCTACATCAGTTCGATTACCTAATGGTCATGTGTCTAAAGTTTCTCATATTGGATCACATTATCTTGCTTCTGACCAGAAACTCACCAATGTTCTCTATATTCCAGATTTCAAATTCAACTTGATTTCAGTTGCAAAGATGACAAGAGATTTGTCTTGTTACATATCTTTTTTTCCTGACTTTTGTATACTTCAGGACCTCTTCGGTGGGAAGGTAAAGGGGATTGGTAGAGAACTTGAAGGTTTATATTTTTTGTTGCCTTTCAAACACCATGCAACACCAACTGTGCCTCAACATCTATCTGCTGTCTCCAAAGTTTCTCAAGTTTTTGCAGTACACGAAGATCTTCCTACTTTACATAATAATTATTGTTTATCTTCTATTGAATTGTGGCATAAAAGGCTTGGTCATGTGCCTATTCTCAAATTGAAATATTTTCCTTCAATAAAGTTTACTCAGAATGATATAAAATGTGTGGCAGATTGCAAAATATGCCCCTTAGCTAAACAAGTCAGATTACCATTTACTTCAAGTCATACTAGAGCATCTCATCCTTTTGATTTATTGCATATAGATGTTTAGGGCCCTTATGCTCATCCCATCGTTGATCATCATAAGTTTTTTCTCACTATAGTAGATGATCATACAAGGATCACTTGGGTTTTCTTAATGAAACATAAGTCAGAAACCATCCTCCATCTTAAAAAATTTTGTTTGCTGGTCCAGAATCATTTTGCTGCTTCTATCAAATTCATTCGATCAGATAATGGGGGAGAGTTTTTCAACACTGCTTGTACTGAGTTGTTTACATCCTTGGGCATCATCCATCAAAGCTCTTGTGTCTACACCCTCAATAAAATGGGGTGGCAGAACGCAAACATAGGCACTTGTTGGACGTGGCTAGATCTTTGAAAATCCAAGCTGGAATTCCACTTCAATACTAGGGTGACTGCATTCTCACTGCATGTTATTTGGTGAATAGGTTATAATCTCCTGTTTTAGGCAACAAGTCTCCCTATGAAATGTTGCATGGAATACCACCACCAATTGATCATCTTAGGGTGTTTGGTTGTCTCAGTTATGTAACTCATCTACCTTCAACAGATAAATTTGCCAAGAAAGCTATTCCATCAATTTTCATGGGATACTCAGCAACTCAAAAGGGATATAGGCTGCTGAATTTGGAAACCCGCATGTTTTTTGTAAGTAGAGATGTGAAGTTTGTGGAGCATGTTTTCTCCTTTCTTTCTCAATCATCTTCAGCTTTGCCTCTTTATCATTCTTCTTCACCTATACATCCTGAGGACTTTGAGTTGCCTTACCAACTTTCACCAATTAATGCACCACAACAGACTCTTCCACATGACAATTCACCTGAGCCACTTGATTTATCAGAATCTTCTGCGCATGACCCTTCTCCTAATATTTCATCACCTCTTATACCATCTCCAGTCCTCAAAAGATCCTCTAGGACTGTTAAACCACCAATCCGGCTCACTGCTTGTATATCTCCTACTGCTCATTATGCAATCACCAACTATGTTTCTTACAAGCATCTTCAACCTTCCTATCAATGCTTTCTCACTACTATCTCTTGCATACATGAACCTACTACATATGAAGAGGTTGTTCATGATCCCCAGTGGGTGGCTGCAATGCAGGCAGAAATTGCTGCCTTAAAGGCTAACCAAACATGGACCTTGGTTCCTCTTCCACCAGGCAAATCTGCCATAGGATGCAAATGGGTATTTAAGGCTAAGTATCACTCAGATGGCAGCCTTGAGAGGTACAAGGCATGGCTTGTAGCCAAAGGCTACAACCAACAGGAAGGCAATGACTATACTGATACATTCAGCCCAGTTGCTAAAACGGTGACAGTTAGGGGTGTCTTGGCTTTAGCATCTATTCATGGTTGGCCACTCATGCAAATGGACGTGTATAATGCTTTTTTACAGGGGAATCTTTTTGAAGAAGTTTACATGGAATTACCTAAAGGTTTTCTCAATCAGGGGGAGCCATTGGTTTGTAGATTGCTCAAATCCTTATATGGATTAAAGCAAGCTAGCAGACAATGGAATATTAAGCTGACAGAAGCACCAATCAAGCATGGATATCAGCAGAGCAAATATGACTTTTCTCTATTTACTAAAAGGAATAGCAGCAAGATAGTGATTGTATTGGTCTATGTAAATGATCTTTTAATCACTGGCAATGATCAGGAGATGTTGCTTGGTTTGAAATATGTTCTACAAAGGAGCTTCAAGATAAAAGACCTTGGTGAGCTAAAGTACTTCCTTGGCATTGAGATTGCTAGATCAAAGGAAGTTTTGATTATGAGTTAAAGGAAGTATGCGTTGGAGCTCATATTAGAAGCTGGACTAGCCAATGCAAAGCTTGCTAAGACTTTACTTGAACAGAATTCAAAACTTACTTCATTCGAATATGATAAACAATTTCATCCTGCATCAGAGGATAAGCTGTTAAAGGATTCATCCATTTATAAAAGGTTGATTGGTAGACTGCTTTATTTGACCATGACAAGGCCTGACATAGCCTTTTCAGTACAAACACTTAGTCAATACATGTATGCACCTAAGGAGTCCCACTTAGAACCAACATTAAGCGTTGTTAGGTATATTAAACAAAATCCTGGACTTGGGTTGTTAATGCCCTCAAGCAATAAAATGGAACTTGTTGCATATTGTGATTTAGATTGGGGAGCTTGTCAAATGAGTAGAAAGTCAGTAAGTGGGTATTGTGTCAAGCTTGGAGAATCTCTTATATCGTGGAAGTCAAAAAAACAAAGTACTATAGCTAGATCATCTACTGAAGCAGAGTACAGAAGCATGGCAGCATGTGTATCTAAGATAATTTGGCTACTTGGTTTGTTGGATGAATTAGGAGTAGAAGGAATACAACCTGTGTTGTTGTATTATGATAACAAAGTTGCATTACAAATAGCAGCCAATCCAATGTATCATGAAATGACCAAACACATTGAGATTGACTGCCATTTTACAAGAGAAAAAATTCAGCAAGGAGTTATACGCACAGGATATATTGCAACTGGAAACCAGATTGCAGATATTTTGACTAAAGGTTTAGGTATACAGCAGCATGAGAAATTGATGGCTAAGCTTGGTATTAAGGACATCTACAAAGTGTCAACTTGAAGGGGAGTGTTGAGTTTGTTAAGAAGCAAGTTGACAGAGGAGAAGCTGAGCTGTGAAAGTTCGTTATGCTAAGTGCTGAGCTGGAAGTTATAGTTAGAGTTTGTTAGCTTTTAGTTAGAGTTAGTTAAACGGTTGTTTTACAAGTTGTATATATATGTATATTGATGTAAACGTTGTTATTAATGAGAAGAGATGAATTCCTTTCTTTTCATTGTTTTCAGTTCTTCTAAATACATTTTCTTAACATATACAAGAGGTATAAATAAATTTAGTGGAGCTTTTATACAAGAGGTATAAATAAATTTCCGCAACGAATCATAGAAAGTTGTAAAAGTCAATATCTTCCACTAAAAATATAGGAAGTTGCAAAAACATTTTTCAGGAGATTTCTGAGTATCGTGGTTCATTATGATGCTTGGAGAAGTTGAACTTTCCATAGGGAATGTATCATTCACCCTAAGTATAGGAAAATCAAATAATAAAAAGGAAATAAAATAAAATTCTAAGTTTAGAAAAATATGTCCTACATCACTAGTTTATTGTAATTCGCACCAAATGCAGACTAAAATCATTCCCCAGTCCATTCTCAAATGCCGACTGAGTCAAGTTAGTGGGCCTGTTGATTTGATTTTGAAACTCCTGGTGATTTCTCTTCCATTTTTTTGTTAATTTCATCAACTTAATTGAAAGCGAACAGTTTCTCTGTTTTCATGTAATGGCTGTTTGTTTTCCACACGTTTCGCTTGCTTTAGTCTAAATGGATGTTCTGCAAAAGCTTTAAACAAGTTAAGCTTTGTTCAGAAAATGTTTATGCCTCAATTCATTTTTCAAAATACTCAAGTCCTCTGTGCTGTACAGAAGAAATTGGTCAATTCCGTAGTTTTTTTGTCAAATTTAAGTGGAGTCTACCTCATTCCTCTTGATTTTCTAGTAAAGAACTGATGAGCATGAGTGTATAACATTAAATTTCTACAAATAATCATAGAATGGTGCAGAAGTCAATATCATGAATAATCTTTGACTTGAACGCCTGCAACGCAGCAAGACCTGTCTCGTTTTGAGCCAATTCCCTAGTGATCAAACTGGAAGAACTAGCAAAAGCTGTAAGCCTGTAACTTGCATCATAGTGATGCAAAAAAAGAAAAGCGAACTGAAAGCAAAGAGAATGGAGTAGCCAATTCCTTCAGCTTTCTTTTCCTTGTACTTTACGTAAAGCGAGTATTGCAAGTGTTTGTGAAACTCAGGGTTCAATTTAGTGGTAGTTGACGCTAGTCTGGACTCCAAAAGGACTTTAACTCACTGTACATAGACTTTTATCATTCAGTTTGGTTTATCGTGGTCAAGAAATTTCATAGAATGGTGATCATAATTGCACTTTGCACATAATTTCTTTTATGTTTTTTTTATTACTTGAAGTCCACCAAGAATGAACAAATTTCCGCAAGGATTCATAGAAAGTTGCAAAGGTCAATATCAAACAATTTTAAAAAAGATATAATTACTTATATGACCCGACATCTATCAAGTGACAAAAGAGAAAAGCGGATTTATTAAAGATTAGTGATGGCAATGGGCCGGGCCGGGACCGGGTACCCCTTGGCCCAGGCCCAAACCCGACTCATGACATAGGTTCAAGCCCAACCCGAGCCCGTTACGAGTATGATAGGCAAAGCCCAAGCCCGACCCGACGGGTTTTTTATAACCGCAGGCCCGGCTCAAGCCTGTCTTTTTTAATAATGTTTATTTTTAAATATTTTTAATTTTTAATTTTTTTATATTTTTAATTTTAGAAATAGTTTTTAAATATTAATTGAAGCTATTTTTAAAAACTATTTCCGCAAATAATTTAAGCAATATGTGAGCAATTAAAACTCCATAATATTTGATTATACTAACTTTTCAATTGTGCATAATATGTTATGGTGAAATCCACTTTTAGAAGTTGAACCAAAACCATCTAACTCATTTAAAGGCAATTTTAACATGTTAAACCTTCAATATGGGATGAAAATTGAGGTTAGGGTTTGAGAAAAATGGATATGTATATGTAGGATAATATTGTAATTAAATATATAGTATAAGGATAAATTAGTAAAATTAATACTAAAATTTTTGGGGCTAGGCCTAAAGATATACCCATGTCCGGCCCGTACACGAGGTCGGGCCTTAAAATCAAGCCCAAGCCCAAGCCCAAGCCCAAGCCCACCCTTTTCGGGCCGGGCCAGGCCGAATACCCGAAAATATCGGGCCCATTGCCATCTCTATTAAAGATATCGTAATGGTGTCTAATCCTGACGAAAATATGACCCAATATCTATCAAATGGGCTTTAACCATCTAAAATAGAGCTGGGCAAGGGACCGGTCCCTTGCGGGCCCAGGCCTGGGCCCGTTTGGGACTAGTCCCTTGGGACTGGTCCCAAATGGGACCAGTCTCTCATGGGCCTGGGACCAGTCCCAGGCCCATGAGAAAAACCAGGACCCGGACCAGGCCTTAGGCCTAGTCGGGACTGGTCCCATGGGGTTTGAAAAATTTTATTTTCCCCCCTCAATTTTTTTATATTTTGGGGGCAAAACGAAATTTTATAGGGGGTTTTTAGTATTTTTTAGGGGTTGATTAGTAAGTTTCTAAAAATTAATTAATTTTAAAAAATAATAAATTAATAGTTAATTTTAATTTTTAACATAAATGTAATATTCACATTTCACACATTCACGCTTCACAAATAAACAATTAAATAATTTTTTTTATTAAATTATTCATCTTCAATTTCATCGTCAACACTAGTTACATTATTCAAATCTGTATCCCCTCTAAAGAGTTCGAGTAGTTCGGGATCTTCAGGGCTGTTTGTAGTCTCTTTCTGCATGATCCATCCCGTAAACACGTTATCACTTCAATCATCTCATCGGTTAAAGAACATCTTCTGTCTTCAACAATCCGACCACTCATTGAAAATGCTGACTCGGATGCAATTGTAGAAACCGGCACAGATAAATGTCACGTGCCATTTGGGATATAATGGGGAATTGACTTTCTTGTTGGTTCCACCATTGAAGAATATCCAGTCAAGTTGCTCTTTCATCGTCATAAAGGTCAAGTCCACCTGTAGGTAGCGAGTCATCTCATTTGGTCTGTATGTACGACTGGAGCTAGAGCTGGAGCTTCCGCCACGTCCCACAACGCCCACTTGCTCGATCCTTGAGGGGGGGCTACATCAAGGTCCTGATCGCCTTTCCTAGACGTTCCACTTCCACTTCCCTTCACTTCCATTATATCTGTTCTCATATAAAGAAAAAAGCCTATCCAATTTGTGTTTAAAGTCAGTCAAATAAGACGTATAATCATGTCCTAAATAATGGCCTAACTTAGTAATTATATCGTTAACTACGGATAATTTAAACCTAGGATCTAGAAAAAGGCCTAATCCATATAAGAATGGAATATCTAACCAATATCTCTTATATTTTTCTTCCATACTTGAAACAATTTCACTAAAAATGTTATCATATATATATTGATCAAAAGTTTTAGCATTTGAACTAAACATCTAACACTAAATTAGTAGTTGGATAATAATACCACTTAATGTATTAGTAGCATCATAAAAAAATTTTAAGAAATGAATAAAGTTCACAAACCTCCCAATCATTATAGTTGACAACTTCCTCTGATAGTTCTTCCGGTTGACGAAATCTGTAATTTGTTTCGCGGTTGGCAAAACTTTTTCCAACATCAGTAGTTAGAGTTCCAACTGATAGGCATGTCTGTACATAACTTCAAAGGTCGAACCGTGGGTCCTCTTGCTTACAATATTTGATGTACCCTGCCATCTTTTATTGCTACCGCCGACGATAATCCGATAGCTCTACGCACCCTCCCATCTTTGAATGTATAGCATCTAAACCTACTTTAACTATCAAATTGATGATGTGACAAGCACATCTCTGGTGATAAAATTTGCCTTCACCAAGCGGATCCAATTTCTTTTCAAATAAAGATATTGTCGCAGTGTTAGCAGCTGCATTATCAAGCGTTAGTGCTACAACTCTATCGTAATAAATATTCTTGCAAAACTTCAAGAATTGTAAAATAAATAGTTTCAGCACTATGTTTTTCATATAATGGTTTAAAACCTATCATTTTTGTTGTAAACCCCAATTTGATCTAAGAAATATACTATAACAGTTAAAAAATCAGTTTTTGGTCTACAGCCCATATGTCTGATTGAGTCAATAGAATATTCCTAAAATTTTGAAATTCGTTTTTAAGTTGATTATTTATTTTGTTATAAAGTTTTAGTATATCTCTTCTACTTGCAGTTCTACTAACAGGGGTTATGCTGGACAAAATGCAATTTTACCATATTAACAAAAAAAGGATTTCAGATAAACAATGGGAGAGTCCTGTAGCAACTATATATCTTGTTATTTCCTCTCTGTGCAACATGTGTATTGTATTGCATGTTGAGAGAGTTGAAGATTGTGGATTAAAATTAAGTTGGTTTGAATTTGTCTACCTGATCCGCTTGAAGATGCATTTATTTGGATGCTTCTTCTCTACGTGTCGTCGCATCGTCGAAGTCCCCTTCTCAGCCCCAATAATGGTTCCACATAAATTACATATCCCACACGATTCTTTCCCCTCCCCATTTATCTTTGGCCGTTTTGATTTGGTGAAGTATCGCCAGACATCGGACACGACCCTCTTTGACGGTCAGGGGGGTTGGCTATGTCCGTGCCCGTTGACTCGCAGCTCACATGTGTTTGGCTACACCTCGTCCTGACTGAATGTGGTTGTGAATTACAACTCATCCTCTGAGGAAATGGTGAAAATGATTGAAGGCTTCAATTTCTTCGTGGATGGAACGTAAAACTCATTTGGGAAGACATTATAAATTTATGTAAAATAATAATAATTAAAATGAAAGAATTAAATATAATATGAAATTATGATGATATTGAAAATAGAAAAAGAAATTGAATAATATAATAATTAACCAGGAAAAAAAAAAAAAAAAAAAAAAGAGAAAACAGAATATAATACAAGCAAGGTTATTTGAATCTTTTGAAGTTTACCTCCTTGCCTGTTGAACAAAGTTCTATGTTCAAGAAGGATGTTCATCACCAGTTGCAACTCATGAACAGCATCTGTTATGTTCATTCGATCTTGTGGTGATTCCATTGAACATGCCACTCCAATCTTTGCCATAGAATTGAGACAGTCCTTTCTGCTCTTGTCTCTTGTTGCCCTCAACCTATGGTTAGTTGCAGACGCCTCTTCATCATCATTTAGAAGCACTGGATCCGCAATGTCCATCACCCGGTCAGGCAAGGCCATTCTAGCGAATTTGTGAAGATTAAGCCCTCCCTCAAACATAAGATCTGTAGGTCTTTTCCCTGTTATCATCTCCAGCATCAGGATCCCATAACTGTAGACATCCCCGTTTGTTGACACCTCACTTCCAAGGCCATACTCTGTAATCCAACAAGAATGATATCAGAAAGTATATAATCTTTTGACAAGTAATTTCCTGTTCAAGTTTTATAGAAAGCATGTGTTAATATCAATGTATCATAATCAAAAGTCTTGCGGTTACCCGGGGCTGCATAGCCAATTGTTCCTCTTACTCCAATAGAGCTGCTTTGATTTGGAATTGAGACTTCTTGAAGAAACCTTGCTAGCCCAAAATCCCCAACATGAGCTGTCATGTCATTGTCTAGCAGAACATTGCTTGGCTTTAGGTCGCAATGGATGATTGGCATGTGGCAACGGTGATGGAGATAATCTATAGCAGATGCTACATCAATTGCAATGCTTATCCTCTGAACAAGGGTAAGATTTTGAACTTCAGCTTGCTCTTCTTCCGTTTCTGCACCTTGGTGAAGCCACTTGTCAAGACTTCCATTTGGCATGTACTCGTAAACAATAGCTTTGAAGTCTATACCCTGAAAATCAATACTTGAGCAACAAGTTATGACTTTGACAAGATTCCTATGACGGATATTTCTCAATGCTTTACACTCTGCCACAAAACTCTTGGAAGCTCCTCGGTGTTGAAGATTTAGTATTTTGATTGCAACAATAGTTCCATCTTCATCAATTATACCCTTAAACACAGAGCCAAAGCTACCCACACCAATCAAGTTTGTTGAAGAAAACCCATTGGTTGCATTATGTAGCATTTCATAAGACACTTTCAAAAGAGTTTTTGGTTCAGATTCAGAATTTTGATTTTCTCTTTTCTTCCTACGCAAACAAAAAATGAAAAACAACACCATGACTAATCCTGAAATGACAGTTGCAATAGAGATCAGTATTTTGAATGTTGGAGACATATTTTCTTTCTTGGAAACATCATTGATGCATTTAGGCAGATGAAGTTCAGCTGTGCCCCCGCAAAGTCTATCACTATTTCCAAAAACGGATATTGCACTTGCATTTGCGAAAACTCCTTTCATTGGTACTTCTCCCTCCAAATCATTGAAGGATAAATTTAGATTCTCCAAAGAGAGAACCTCCAAAAATTTTGGAATTTTTCCAGACAAATTATTACGAGAAAGATCAATATTTCGAACACCTCTCAAAGAACTCAAAGATGGAGGAATAGATCCATGAAAGAAGTTGCTCTCCATTTTAAGGTATTCAAGGTTAGAACAAAGACTGAGTTCACTTGGAATTTCACCGGACAAGTTGTTGTCTGACACATCAAACTCTGATAAAACTTTTAGATTACCAATGTTTGGGAGTATGGATCCGACCAAATGGTTTTGGGCAAGATTTAGTGAAATTGACAGATAGGTTATATCGAAGATCTCCTTTGGTATGGTTCCATTGAGGTTATTTTGGAAAAGATGCAGAACAGACAATTGTTTCAAATTTCCTAGACTAGAAGGAAGGACTCCTGATAACTTCTTGTTGCTTATACGAAGTTCATTAAGCAACGTTAAGTTTCCAAGAGAGGAAGGAACTTGTCCCGAGAGTTGGTTGTTGAAAAGAATCATCCTCTGTAATTTCAGAAGCTTACCCATTTCTTCGGGAAGTGTTCCTGTAAATTGGTTATTATCCATAGCTAATATATCTAAGTTAACAAGATTACCTATCCCTGGAGGGATACTTCCATACAATTGATTGGCATGAATGACTAGATCTTGGAGTTTAGACAGATTAGCTAATGAATGAGGCAATGCTCCTCTGAATTGGTTTTCAGCTAAAGTCAAAGACCACAAATTGCTACAGTTGACCAAAGAATCGATAAAACTCATCTCATCACCTTCACTGCTTCCTAGGTTATTCATGCCTACGTTTAGGTATGCAAGATCTTTCATGCCTCCAAAATCAACGGACAGTTTTCCAGAAAAATTGTTAGAAATCATTTCAATGAACTGAAGTTTTGAAGCATTGGAGAAAGAAACTGGTATGGATCCACTAAATAAGTTTCCTGAGATTTGAAAATATAGCAGTTGAGGAAGAGTAAGCCCTAAATTTGTTGGAAGACTTCCATGAAGTTGACTCTCAGACAAAGAAAAAATTTCAAGGGAAGAAAGATTGTACATGGAAGGCGGGACTGGACCGAAGAGGTTGTTTCCGCCGAGTCCAAGCTGTGTTAAATTTTTCAGTCGACCCAATGAATCTGGAATAATTCCTCCCAATCCAATGTAAGACATAGATATAACTTCCAGGGAGGAAAGGTTCCCAAGAAAAGGTGGGATGCCTCCTATCAACTTGTTGTAATGTAGAGTTACTTCTTTGAGATTGTACAAGGAGACCAACTCCGATGGAATTTTCCCCGCTAGATTGTTACGTCCTAAATACAAGAATGCTAGCCTGGAGCAACGGGACAAGTTTGCTGGAATTTCACCCACCAGGGAGTTATTTTGCAGCATTAAAGATTCTAACCTTTGCAGGCGGCCAATTTCGTTAGGAATTTCACCTTGGATGCTGTTGTTATACAGTTCAATATCCCTCAGGAAGCTGAGGTTGCCAATGTAAGGAGTGAGAGAGCCAAACAAACCTCTTGAATTTAGGGCTAGGACGGTGACTCTTCTATGCTTGCGACCGCATGTAATGCCCTCCCACTCACAGAAGTGATGAGAATCATTCCATGAGTTCAGGACCCCGTGAGGATCATGAATAATCTTTAACTTGAAGCTCTGCAAGGCAACAAGATCCATCGCCTTTCCAGCTAGTTCTCTAGTAGTAGCTAAATTTGTAACATGCATCATAGTGATACAAAAAAGAAAGAATTGGAAGTAAACTGAATTGCATAAATTTGTACTCATCTCTAAAACTGAGAAGGCAATTCTTTGAGCTTGTCTTACTGTTTCTTTATAGGGCTTCTCCCACCTTTTCGATTAGTCTAGACTTTAAACGAAGGACTTGAGTTAATTGTGATGCAGTAATTTTCACCCACAAATAACTTTGAAAATATGAATCTAAAACGCCCCCTTCATACAGAAAATGATCGCAACTATTTGTGATAAGATAGACGCTATTTCCTCCACTTACCGTTGATCAACCCTTGATATTGATGGGAGTGATTAACAGTCTTATTCTACGTTGACCTCTGAATTTCTATGGTGCATACACACTTTCTTGTCATTTGATTAGCATGAACAGGAAAGAGGGGCATACACATCTTCCACAAGGACTAGAAAGTTGCATCAACTTTTTCCAAGAAATTTCCAATGAAACCTACATATTTAGTTCATATTCATTGCATCCATATAAAACTACACCGGGAATGCAAACCAGTTGGCAACCCACAACGTTTTGAAAATTCTAATTTCCACAAAGTAAATTGGGCAGTTGTCTTCCTCTCCCCATTGGCCTGCATTCATTCAGTCAATTTCTTTCAACACAGATATATTTGTTTGTTCTTAATATTAGCAAATTTATTTATTGCTAATGTTAATTTTGGCGAATGATATCTGACACATGATAGAATGTAATGAGGTGGATCAAGAGACTTGACGAGGAGAGGACTAGTCAATGAAGGTGGGTAAGATTACTCAAATACCCTTGCAACGTTGGTGCTCTTTTATCGACGTTAGTGAAAAGGGAGGCTTCGCATAGTTTTTAAATCTTAAATCAAAATCTTAGATTATTCTAGTTTCATATCATAGATTTGGTTCCTTTCCAACAAAATGCAGTACAGGCACATAAATGGCATGCCAAACTAGTGCACCATTTACTTGGATAATTCTTCAGTATATGAATGGCGAGCATTGTTTTAAAACCCAGTCTGGCCAGTTGAATCGGCTCAATCGAGACCCAAAGCCTAAACCAGGTCAGGTTACAAATTTTTCTATTCATTGAAAACCCTAAAAATTAGAATATTAATTCATGAACAATTGAAGGTTGAAATGTTAAGGCTTTTGAAGATGAATGGTCGATGAGCGCAATGGTGGCAGCGACATCAATTTCCAACTAGTGAATCAACCAAAAATTGTAAAATAATATCTTCGGAAAAAGCCCATTCTCGCCGCGATTGGAGAGACAAACGGGAGAGGAGTGAGATGGGTTTTAGTCAAAAGACTGGAAGGAGTATTTTCATGATGATAGGGAGTGTTGTTGTCGTGGGAAACATGCCCTATTTGTCGACGTCAACGGTGGTGCTTACGGTTTTTTTTTTTTTTTTTTTTTGCAAGATTTCAAACCTATAGGGACTTACATGTAATTTTTAGGAGTATTTTTGTTATATGTCAAACCTTTGGTCACTGGTTTAACCTGCCGGTGAAAGCAGTTAAACCTATCAACCCAAGACCCGACCACTTTGCCGGGTTTCACCCTAGGTTAGGTTTTAAAACATTGATGGCGAGTACCGATCACATAAAAAGAAGAACTCCACTCTGACTCTTCTTAAATTAATGCAACTTATAAATTTAATTAATATACCAATACACAAATGAATCAACGAATAAGTGCAGAACCTAACACGTATTCTTACTTACAGATGAATTAACGATATAGAGAGCTGAAAAAGGATGGAGAGACAGTTCATTCAATATCTTCAGATCTTATGGTCTCTATACAATCCCGATCAACCCAACTTCACTGGAAGGATTTCCAGCAAACCAACAGTTGAATCACTATGACAGGACAAATCTTTCCCATTTCGAAGGCTTCGCAGCGAAATATCACAGCAATACATATTTCGTTGTAGCTTCAATTTCATTAGCTTCAATTTCATTAGCTTCTTCGATTTGCATATTGCACAAAATTTGGGGGAAATAAGTCATTAACCTTATCAATTGCATCTCTTAAACTCCAATCCATTTATCTTCTAGAGTGGGAGAATGCACAATTTATACAAATTTGATTCAAAAACAAGGGTAAGAATACACGATATGGACACAAGCCACAGACTTGCAATATCCGTGCTTGAATGTTGTTGGTTTCTCATTTCCTTGCTATGAAATATAATCAGTAAGGTAAGGAGTAGGCACACATTCATTATCTTGCCCACTTCACTAATAGCAGCAACTTATTTTCAAACTTTTAATACATGTATACACATACACAATACACTGCAACGTATGTATATCGATCTATGGCACTAACTATACAATGTGCACCAGCGTTCAGACAATGCATCTACCTCCATCATTTAATTCCAAATATCAAAAAATTATAAATACAATGAAATACCACAAACCATATCACACAAAAGGGGAATTGCAAGCTAGCAGGATCTTCAGTAAATAAAACAACTTCTGGTATAAAAAACTTGCCTTTTGTGTTCAATAGCAGCTGAATCTATGTCAAACTGCTCTCATTTGATGCTGTTGTGAAGCATCCAGGAGAGATTAGCTACTATAGTTAGCTTTTGAAATGCATTTTCGCCTTTTGATTAGTCCATCCATTAAATTCACGTAGGTTGATTTGTTTATAGTGATACCCTTTTGTGTTGTTTCTTCAAAAATGCGCATTGCATCCTTGTATTCCCCTTGACTACAGAGCTCATTGATCTGCTCTGAGTAAGCAATGGAACTTGAATCAAATCCCTTAGAAGTCTCAGTAGGCATCGCACTCTGCCCCTGTACCAGTTGAATTGGCAGATCCTTCAATTTTCCTTATTCAACCATTTTAGACTTGAAATCCTCTGATCTTGAAGCCTACCAGCATCAGCTAGTGCCCCATGAATGTTTTTAAATGTATAATGATCAGGCCCTAATTTTTTTTCTTCCATTTTAGATAGAAGATCAAATGCATCCTTGAATCTCCCTTCCTTGCATAGACTTGATATCATCGTGTTGTAAGTAACTGCATCAATTGTCCTCCCTTTTGAAATCCATGTGTTGAAGAGTTTAAGAGCCTTTTCTAGCATACCCTTTCTACAAAGCCCTCTAAGAAGAATATTACAGGTAAACACGTCAGGTTTGAATGAATTCTCAACCATTTTGTTGTGAAACTGAAATGCTTTTTCAACTTGTCCTCCCTGCAGTACCCAAGCATAATTGTATTGTATGTGGTTTCATTCGGGAATAAACCACTCTCAAGAAGCTCATTCAACTCGTCAATGGCTTGCTTAGTCTTCTTTGAATGACATAGCCCAGCAATTATAATGTTATAGGTAACAATACTCAGAAAAAAAAATTTCTTCTTCATCTCATCCCAAAGCTTCAAAGCTCGGTCCTCCTTTTTGTCCTTAAAATATCCATTGATAAGAGTACCATAGTTCATCTCATCAAGATACTAACCCCTCTCGCTGCTTTATTAAGCAAGTCATACGCCTCATCAAGCTTCTTCTCCCCACAAAGAGTATGAAGAATGGTATTAAGTGTAAAACTATCCATCTTCAAACCTTTCCTACCCATCTCATCCATTCTTCTGAAAGCTTCAACCATCTTCCCTGCTTTACAATATCCATCTATCAAAGTATTGTAAGTAACAGTGTCTGGTGGAAACCCACTTTTTTCCATTTTCCGCGTAGTATTACTCGCTTCTTCTATTTTGCCTTCTTTCAAATACCACTGAATTATAATATTATGAGTAACTGCATTCGGCTTCACTCCTTTCTCACCCATCTCATCAATCAACTTAAATGCCTCTGCACTACTACACCATTTAAAACATCCATTTATCATAGAACTATAAGTAACCACATCAGGCAACAACTTCAGATTCTTCATCTCATTCCTCAACCTAAAGGCCTCCTCCAACTTTCCGTCATTACACATCTAATTAATCAACATATTATATGTCCAAACATCCAGTAACAAATTATTCAATGTCATCAACTCTATCATCTTCACCGCCTCCTTCAACCACCCCAACTTACAATACCCACATATCAAAATATTATATGTACACCGATCGGGTAACAACCCTTTATTCTTCATATCTGACAAAAAATCCCTAGCCTCACCTAACCCACCTAACCCACCTAACCCACCTTTCTTACAAAAAGCACACAATATCGTATTATACGTTATATTATCAGGTAAACAACCAAAAGCCTCTATGTTTTTCAGCCACTCAAGTGCATCTACAAAATTTTTCTCCAAGCAACATCCATATATCAACACATTAATAGTAGTAGTATCAGGTTTAACTCCAAGAACACTAGTCATATCTTTAAAAACTTTATTAGCAAGCAAAATCGAATGCAAAGAAGGGTGTCTTACCAATCCAGTTATAAGCACATTGCAAGACAACAATCCAGGCTTAACTTTCAACCTCTTCATTTTACTGAAAATCTAAGCAGCCAAGTGGGGCTTCCCGGACTGAACATAGGCACTAATACACGTGTCGAATAGCGGTTTCGACAGCTTGATACCATATTTCTTGGGGTCCCAGTTACTGGGATTAACAATGTAGCTATGAAGAACGCGTTGGCGATCAGAATTTATGAAAGAAACGAGCAAAGATTTGGCGTCCAAGTACTTGTGATGTTGAAAGAGTGAAGGGAGGAGAGAAAGAAGAGGGAGTGGGGATTTTATGAGAGAGGGAGGTAAATGGGACTGGGCCCATTTGAAGAAGGAGATGAGAGTGTTTGGTCTCTTGGCTAGGGTTTTGGAAGAGAGAAGAGAAAGGAGGATTGGCTGAGCGAGGTGTTGAATGTGTGGAGTGAGTGATTCAAGGCAGTTGTATCTTCCGTTAGAATCTTAATTAGGGTTCTTAAGAACAGGGGTTTAGTTGATTCCTGGTTTGGGTTTGGTGGTGGTGGTAGTGGTGGTGGTGTAGTTTTGTTCATGGCAATTGTTTATCTGTCACTGCGTGTGACTCGAATTATGGTCTTGGGATTTATTTGGAGATGGAGGGTAAAACGATGAGTATTGTGGAGGGTAGTTTAAAATTTGAGGATTAATTTTAATCACCTTCCCTGACCTTTAGTATAATTTTAAAGTAACCCTATAATATGAGAATTATTCTAAGTGCCCTAAATAGTTTATTTAATTACAAGGACCTCCCCGAGAAGAAGGTCAGAGAAATATGATTGTGTTGGTTATTTTTATTAGATCAACGTAAAGGTAATCATTCACCTTTCAAATTTCTATCATTGGATTTGTGGTAAGCTATGTTTGGAATTGGATTCTGTTTGGCTTATATTTCCGAGAAAATGAAGGATTATGGGAAATAAAGAAGCAAGAAGAGGTGGTGAAATTGAAGCCAATAGATGCAACAAAAGAAAGCTTTGCGGAATTTGGACAAATGATTGAAGCTTCACCTGATGGTGAAGAGTTTGGTCCTCGAGATGCTCAACTAGAGATCAGCCGTGGCACGCTGAGGTGTTAAAAAATTTTCATTATAATGAGTTTTTGCATTATAATTTGGCTCTGTCTCGTATGATCCATAAGCTTTTTTGTTTTTGTTTAGTCGATTGCATTCGGAGGAAATTGTAGCTTTACAAGTTCATAGTAATTCAAAGTTCTGAACTTTAAGCCACATATTTTGCACAAATTCAAATCAGCTAAGCTTTCTGCGTTTGGTTTTGTTAATGCATGGTTTTGACACTAATGGCTCGCAAGTGTAAAGTATTAAGCTATTTTTAGAAATTACATATGATTAGCTGATTCAGGAGTCAGGATAAGGTTAAACAATATTATTGAATGCAAAGACTGAATAATAAATGAAAGAGATGATTTTTAAAGTTGTTCGGATGCCTAAAACGATTGTTACATCAACTGTTTCTTTTATATATGAGAGTTTACAGGTGGTCGCATATAGCGAACAGCGAGCAGAAGTACAATAACTGAGTATTCAAAGAGAATATCAAGTCAGTCTCTTTCTCGTAGGTTGTCTTTGCCATTGATTATTTATCAAAGTAAAAAACAGAGATCTCGAAAATGAGAAGGGGGAGTTTTTTATTTATAATAGTTGAATTCAGGATAATGATTATAAATCTATAAGTAGGTATGTGCCGCGCAAGTCCTTCCTTACCTTTTATTGGCCGATAACTTAAGTAATATCTTCAAATTATCTGAGGCTTGGACAGGTATACGGTCATTATTCACTCATAGACAAAACCTGAATATGTTGGGTTGGTGACAACCGTATCCTTTCTGTCTTGAGGCGACATGGCAGCTTCTGGACGACGCAAAGCCTTCCTGAACTCTGATTGATGCTTACTAATGTAAGCTTACATCAACCCTTATTTTTTTAAGCATAAAAGGGTCTAATTAGTCTTGTCTTTAATTGACTCTCTGTTAGAAACTCATATCTGCGAGAGAGTATCGAGAATTTCTCATAGATTTTGATGGTATAATCATGCTTTTCAACAGGTGGAAGACCGACCATTGAAGTTTTCAACAATTATGCGCCATGCAAGTGTGACTCAGTACATTACGCATCTGGAAGATCCAAATTTTCCAATTGTTTCAAATTTCCTAGACTAGAAGGGATGACTCCTGACAAGTTTCCCATAGAAGAAGGAATTTGGCCAATGAGTTTGTTGGTAAACAGATCTAAAAATTCAAGGTTCTGGAGCTTACCTGTTCTTCGGGTATTGTACCTGAAAATTGGTTACTGAACATATCCAACGCATTTAAGTGAACGAGATTGCTTATCCCCGAAGGGATGTTTCCATACAAATTATTACTATCAATATCAAAATTTTGGAGTTTAGTACTAGAGAGATTAGCGATTGAATGAGGCACTCGTGCTCTGAATTTATTTTCAGCGATGATGAAAACCCTCGACTTGCAATGTGCATCACCGTGACGACAAAAACGAAAACTGATTGAAAGCAAAGAGGGAGACTGATCATTGCACTCATCATTGAAAGCAAGAAGGCAAATTCTTTGATGATGTGATTGTGAAACACTTTAAAAGTCTACTACTGGGTATATATAAATGCCAAGCGATTGATGCTGAAATCAGAGACTTCACACACTGTATACGCCTTTATTAAAAAACTTATTAATCATACTGTTTTCTAGCAATATATAATCCAGGAGTTTAGAACAATTTTAACTTGAGATTGTATTTTTGCATATCGCATATCAGAAGTTTTAAGACAGTGCTAATATAATAAAAAGGAAATTTTACTTGGTATATATCATCTCACCAAATCCTGGATTATTGCACCATTACATATTGGAAAAGAACTTCAATAAATAAAAATGAACAAGTGAACATCTATAGAAATAAAAATTTCATATAAAATCTGAATAACATACGACAATATTAAGGATGAATGGTTCTATTCTCAGCTTTACAATTTCAGGCTGATACACTAAAATGTTTTAAGTTGATTCATCCCTCAATCTCTGATTTCGGGTGTTTATCATTTAAACCTTTTCCTTTTTGGTTGTGAGATTTTTGGCCGACAGTTCCATTATAGGACAAAATAGTATTAGGATGATTCTGAAACCGCAGCCTAGTCCCATTGAATCTCTCTGTGGAATGTCCATTCAGAAGGATTTAACGTAGTCTTTCCATCAGCTGCCACAAGATCATATGCCGAATCCTCTGCAAATTCAGTGGGCATGGACTTCCAGTGCAGAGATGGCTTCCACTCAGCTTCTTTGAGCACTTTCAGTATCTCTGCCACCACAATCTTACTCCCCTCCTCAGACAAATGAATTCCATCTCTGGGCAAGAGAAAATAATTTACTATATTTGCATTCGACAATTCATTGACTGGTTTATGTCATTTCAAAGAGAGACAAATGTCACTATAGAGAATGACAAATGAATAACAATTGCACTAAAATGACAACCTATTATTCAACTTTCTTAGACAAGAAGAGAAGACTGCCCAAATGGACCACACATAAATTTACCACGACAACGTAAAGCAAATTTTCAACTTCCTGGGCTTGGTGCATGTCTCTTGCTCTCAGAGGAAAATTTCTTTTGGTATACAAGCAAAAAGATGTGAACAGTAATCAAAACTAAACTGGAAATAAACTAATGGCTATAAGCTGTCTTCGGAAGTGAGTAAAACCAAGTTGATTTCCATAGCTCATCTTTCTTTAGAAACAAAGGCCTGCTCATAGTAATCTCATCGATTATATAGACCACTATAAATTGCCAAAATTGATTCTGACAGCCAGAAACCATGAGTTTCTCACTACCCACAAAAAAGTTTAAACAAATACAATGCATTAAAGGAAGGGAGTTGCTATTCTTACAAAGAAGCCTACAAAGGAGGCATACAAAGTTAATCTCCACCCTTCATCTTCATCATTTCTCTCTCTCTCTCTCTCTCTTTTTCCCTTTTTCTTTTGTTTTTTCCTTCACTTTGTAAGCTACTTTGTAAACTTCTTTGTAAGGATAGATTTATCCTTAAAGGAAACACCGTGCTGAAGATAACCGGGACAATATTTTCCCCAAGACAGTAGTGGAATATAACATCTAATATGAGAAAAGTAATACATAAATGAGGTGGGTCACAAGTGCGCATATATAATAAAAGGAATTCCAATAAGTATCTTCCCACTAACTACTGCTTTATGGCACCATAGCCTATTGGAGAAGACCCAAAACAAGTATGTAAATTTCAACTTTCTTTTTAAGTGAAAATTCTCCAGCTAACTTATGAATATAGAAAACAGAGAAACTTCAATTGCAGAAAAAACAAAAACCAGATACATAAGTTGGCCTAAGAAGATCAGAAATGATGATATTGTCAATCTTGATCATGTCAGAAAAAAGGAAGTGCAGAAAATATGGCAAGCAAACTTACGTAAAGCAATCAGTCATCCAATTCTCTCTCTGCTGAAATGCAGTGAAAAGATCAACCACATTCACATCTAACTCCTGGCACATCTTTATACAAGCTTCTGAGTAATTCTTGCATAGCTCATTTGTTCTAACTAGCTCACTAAAAATTCCACTGGAATTAAAAGATATACCAGCCTTAGAATTGACATTTTGCCACAAAAAACACAGAAAATTCAACACAGATATATACATCACAGCACCTTGTGCCTCGATTAACTCTGTCTTCATCAACAGGAGGACAACTTAGAAAAATAATGCGGGTACCACCTGGAAGACTCTGTTTTCAAACATTTAGACTGAGGGTCAAATATCATTCTTCATTAGAAACATGAAATGTCAGTTAAGTTTGAGAGATGTTCAATGGCAACAAATACAAAACTAAAACTGAATACATTTAAGCATTGAGGGTTAAATGCCTAACGAAACCGAAGCTTTAAAAAACTTGTGTGAAGAAATAACCTTGAGATGATTTGCAATCTTTTTCATGTTTTCAACATATTCAGAAAGCGGAACGTGAGGACCTAGGCCAGATGAGTGAGGCCCCATTGAATCATTACCACCAAAATAAACAATCACCAAAGAAGGCTGTGTAGCATCATCCTGTATGGCCAAACAAAGACAATACAATAAAATAAAGATGGGATCAGAGAACCACCACAAAAGGAACCACTTCAAACATCTAGTAATTATCACATTATACAGAATCTCAACTTTTATATCCCTGGTAATTATCATATCATTTATCATCTTATTCCATCGTCTTGTTCAAATAATAAGTGCTTAAACAACATACGGAATGAATTAATCTAAATAAGCTACATTTAGTAATATTAATACAAAAATGTCGTAATAATACCTTGGGAAAAACTTGATCAAGAACCTCAACGGCACGTCGTGAGTTCCATCCGTAATATCCTCGAAGAATAATGTCCGCCTAAATATGAAAAATCATACACAAATAAATAAACAAAAATCTAGCTGCTTAAAATAGTCCTAACAAGAGACAGAGTGAGGGGAAAAAAAACTTTGCGAGAGTAAACGTCGGCGAGAATGGCGCCCCAACCGCCATTGCTGAAGCTGAGCTGGACAATGGAGGATCCAAAGAGGACAAACCGAGGCCTAAGAGGTCCCACCATTTTGTCAGTTTATCAGTGAATCACCGACTCTTGGCTGCCGAGGAAGAATCGAGAGTTGACGAAATGGTTTAATCAGCTTTTTCTTTACAACAACTAGTAGTTAGAATTTCGGTGATGTTGATATAAATTTAATAAAACTCTACGCGCTGCAAAACCGGGGGAGTATACTATAAGGACATGCTCTACGCGCTGCAAAACCGGGGGAGTTTAGTAGTACATCTTTGCATTTAATTAAAAGGCTATAAATTTTAAAATGTTAACTAAATAGCCATGGGTGCATTTGGCGTATTATTTTTATCCATATTCTTAATCTTATTTTTCAAATATTGTTTGACACGTTATTCTCAAATATTAGCCTATTTTTTTAATTACGTTGAGACCCTATAAGTTTATTAATTTCATTAAATACCTCTCAAAAAAAAGTTTAAAAACTAACAAAAACATCCCCACCTACCAATACCTGCTAGATTCTGGCAACCACCACTGATGGTAGCTAGAATCTATCACAATAGTAACACAGTCACCAGAAATAGTCGGTAATGGCCAGATCCAGATCCACAATGGATCTGGCTAAAAAAGGCCAGATCTGTCGTCAACGACGGCCAAAGAAATGGCCGTCATTTTAGTCTGTTCTGGTCGTCACAGCCAAAACAGTTCGTAGATCTGGCCTTTTCCGACCAAATCTGTGGTGGATCTAGCCGGAAAAGGTCATAACGACGCGTTACGACACAGATCCTACCGGTCTGTGTCGTAACAAAAATTTTCGGCCAGATTCAGGCGGTGGTGGCCGAAATCTAGCACTGCAGGTGGTGGGGGTGTTTTTGTCATTTTATATAGCTGGGTCTTTAATTAAATTAATAAACCTAAGGTCTTTTTCATAAATTTTTAAAGTTCACCTCGTAATACTCCCCTATCCAACAACCCAATGCTATCCCCAAAATCTTATACAAAATAATAAACCAAACGCACCCCATATTACTGATTAAGGGTAATTAGTGCTTAATTAGGATTAATGAATTGTTATGTAAGCTTTTCAAAATTATACTATATTCCCACAAACCATAAATTGTTGCAAACAAACCCAAACACCTTCCCGCCATTAACGCATCTCTACCTCTGCATCTTTTTTTCTTCTTCTTAGCTTCGTCTACATCTTCTTCTTCTTCCTCTGCATCTTCTTCTTCTTCCTCCTTCCTCTACATCTTCTTGTTCCTCATTCCTCTATATCTTCATGTTCCTCCGCCATTAACACTTTATTCTTCCTCCACCATTAACATCTTCTCCGCCAAAGATCCCCTTCCTCCTCCTCCTGACATTTCTTCTAAGTATGTGTATCTCCTTTTTACATTTTATATTTAGATTTACAAAGATTTAATAATGGATGGGGTTTGGGTTATGATTTTGATTTAGTTGTTTAGGTTGTTGGGTTGTGTTTGATATAATGCAAGTTGAAATGAGTGAAATTTGTTAAAAATTTGTTCTGGGTATGATGGAATCGATTGTAAGTGGAGATGACTGAAAATGTGTTCTAGGTATGGTGTATCGCTTAAGCGATCTGGTAGGTCTGTTAAGCGATCTGGTAGGTCTGGTAATGTAGTAGATAGATCGCTTAAGCAATCAGGTATGCAGCAGATAGATCGCTTAAACGATCTGGTAAAAGTCTGGTGTATAGGAGCAGATCGCTTAAGCGATCAGTAAATGGCATAAGATCGCTTAAGCGATCATGGTTATTTATACTGGATCGCTTAAGCAATCAATTGTATTGCTTAAGCGATCCAGTATAAATAACCATGATCGCTTAAGCGATACAGCAGACCATATAAGCGATGGTGCAGATTCTTTTTAAAATATTTGAACCCTTAGTACAGCCTTTAAGAATTTTTTTTTTTTTTTTCTTGCATTACAGGTAATTGGCTATTATTACACATGGGACAAGTTGTTTTGGGTGTTGAATATTTTGGTGAGTGGGTGGAGGAAGCACGTAGCTGGCAATGGATTGGGAAGAGCAAAGAAGCTATACCAATTACTGTAAGCACAAAGGTTAGTTTTGATGAGTTGATTGATGAAATAATTAGAAGAGGTAATTTGAGTTGCTCGCGTAGTGACATAGTTGTGAAGTATGTTTTAAGCAGAGTTCCTGAAAATTATAAGGTACCTCCTGTTATATTAAAGTCGGATGAAAGTGTGAAGTTATATATGATTGATGTGGCCGATAATGGTTCGAGGCCGATTTTAAGGGTTTCTCTTATAGAAAAACCGTTCGAAGTTGGTTCAAAGGAAGGGGATAACGAGGAAGTAGGCGAAGATTTGCCTGGTTTTAATTTGAATTATGAGGCCAATGATTTGTTAGTTGAAAAATCAAGAGTAGACGGTGAATTGGGTGGTGAGGAGGACACTGTAGAAGAGGTTGGTGATGGGAGGCAGAATGAAAATGTTGAGGAGAAAGACCCCGTAGATGTTCCCACAGATGTAGAGATTCCTTTAAATACAGATTATGCAAAAGGCGTAGATTGTGAGGAAGAGAACACTATGGCCGTTTATGCAGGTTCAGAGAGGGCAATTGGAGGTACTAGTGAATCAGCTCATGTTTTTACGGATGGATCGGAGTTGCACATAGGGTATTTATTTGACAATAGAGGAAGTGGTGAGGAAGCTAAAACTTGTTGCCGTGAGAGGTAATTTTGAGTTCATCACCAAAAAGTCAAATTCATTAGCTGTGACGGTTGCATGTCGTGACCAAAAGTGCAAGTGGCAGATTTATTGTAGAAGGTTGGCGGAGTCGAAAAAATTTATGCTTAGCACATATACTCGCGAGCACACTTGTGGTTTGGGACATATTTTAGGTAAGCATTGACAAGCGTCTGCTGATGTTATTGGACAATTTGTTAAAAGTTGGTTCGTTGAAGGGAAAGGTCCATCTCTTAAAGACATTCAGAGACTTGTGCGCACAGAGTTGGGATGTGTTGTTAGTTACTAGAAATGCTGGAAAGGGAGACAACATGCACAAGATTTTGTTAGGAGCACGCCGGAGCACGGGTACGCAGTATTAGAAGCATACCGTTATATGCTTGAGTTGACAAACCAAGGCAGCAAGACGGCTTTGAAGTGGGACATGAATATGATGTTTAAATATTTTTTTGTTGCTTACGGTTCTGCTATAAGGGGTTTTGTAAACATGAGAAAGGTGTTGGCTGTTGATGGTTGCTTTCTGGCGGGAAAGTATGGAGGTACATTGTTGGTGGCCACTGCACAGGATAGCAAGAATCACACATATCTTGTTGCATGGTATGTGGTTGACTCTGAGAATGACGAGTCGTGGACTTGGTTTTTTCATCAGTTACGTACGATAGTGCCTGACAATGACGAGTTGTGCATAATATCCGATAGGCACAACTCTATAAAGAATGGGATTGCCAATATTTACCGTCAAGCACATCATGGATTCTGTATGAGGCACCTTGGTGAGAACATAAAGCAAAAGTTTAAGTGTGCTGGCCTCCTTCAGACATACTACATGGCAGCAAAAGCTTATCGGGTTGATGCATTCGAAGAGCAGTTCCAGCAAATCTGAATCAAGGATGATAAAGTTGCTAAGTATCTTCAGCATGATGTTGGTTTCGAGTGATGAAGTAGAGCTTATTTTCCTGGAAGAAGGTTTGATGTCATGACCACGAAGATAGCCGAGTCCATAAATTCGAAGTTGTTAATAGAAAGAGAGTTTCCAATAGTTGCACTTTTTGATGCAATCCAAAGGACACTGTCATGGTGGTTCCATGAGCGTCATACGGAGTCAGATAATTTTACTATAACCCTTTTTTCGTCAGCTGAAAAATTATTGCGAGAACGTATGGAACTGTCAAATGCACTGTTTGCCTATCCTCTTAATGCTCAAGAGTTCACTGTGAGCGGTTGTGGTCCGGATGCTCTAGTTAACCTTGTTAGAAAAACTTGCAGCTCTAAATTGTTTGACATTCAACGTTTACCTTGTCCTCATGCACTAGCAACACTGAAACACCAACGGAAGCTGGATTTTGGTTCAAGAATTTACATGGAACTTTGCTCCCCTCTCTATATGACAGATCACTACATGCTAGCTTATTCAGAAATGATATATCTGGTGCCTCCAGAAAATGAGTGGGTAGTGCCGCCAGAGGTGGCTAACATTATCATCCACCCACCATTCAAGAAGACAGCAAATGGGAGAAAAAGAGTTAAGTGTATTCCATTAGCCTTTGAGGTTCTGCGAAAGATGAATAAATGCTCAATTTGCAAGCAACCTGGCCACAAGAGAAGCAGTTGCCAAAAGCAATCACATTTAGATCCATTAAATTAGGTTTTAAGAAGGATGAAATTCAGGGAGTTGCCAAGGCCAATCGTTGATGAGTTATTGTTTTCAATTATTGATGTTATAAATTTTATTGTTACCTTTAATAAATCATTCTTTATATTTCTTGTTACATGGCCTAAATATTTGTTGTTGATTTTAGTTTGGAATTAGGTTGTCAAATTGAGGAGAAAGTATGGCATTAATACGTGTTGGTAATTTTAGTTTGTCAAAATTTAGGAGAAAAACAGGAAAAGTATATATCGCCAATGATCGCTTAAGCGACTAAGTATATCGCTTAAGCGACTAAGGGTTTTTAAAAAGGATCGCTTAAGCGATATCACAGATCGTTTAAGCGATCGTGCACCTGGGAAGATGATTCTGCCCACATGTACGATCGACCAAGAAAAAAAAGAAAGAATCGCTTAAGCGATATCTAGGATCGCTTAAGCGATCGTGCAACAGGCAGATGATTGTGCCCAGGGGCACGATCGCCTAAGCGATCCACGATCGCTTAATCGACCAAGACAAAAAGACAAGAATCGCTTAAGCGATATCTCGGATCGCTTAAGCGATCGTGCACTTGGACAGATTTGATTCTGCCCAGGTGCACGATCGCTTAAGCGATTTACGATCGCTTAATCGACCAAGACAAAAAGAGAAGAATCGTTTAAGCGATTCTTATAGGATCGCTTAAGCGATCATGCACCTGGGCAGATTTGATTATGTCAATCACATGATCACTTAA